ACCACTACTACCACTACTACCACTGCTACCATCACTACCACCACTACCACGATTCATTCATTCACTCACAGCCGGACGATCAGCTTGTGGTCAGCCAAATGGCAGCGAACTTATCGTTGGCGCATCTGGTGCGCAGTTCATGGTGAGAGTCGCTACTACGAATAGCCAGAAAACCATTCTAACTGACTACCAGTGGTCCATCAGTTGTGGAGGATGATGATCTAGGTACATAATGGGCACACTGTGTACCGGTAGCAGTGCTGTTGGGCGATGTTTTCTGCATCCTGGGTTGGCACTGAACAAGCATATGCATTTCTTCTTCCCTCCAGATCATTCTGGTAGGCGATTTTTTCGGGCTTCTGCGAGGTTGCGTCTTATGTCACTTATGTCGACCCTTATCAAAAGACCGAATTCTTTGAAGCCTTCTGGGGTTCTGGTAAAGTCTAAGCTTACGAGAGCAGCCCGGGCAAGCGGGGGATGGATGGAATCCCATAATGGACTGTATGTGCGTATTACTGAGGATCCGCGCGGCGCAGCAGGTGCTGTCAGCGGGTTGCAATTGCACAGGCTTTGTGTGGGGCGTACGCAGCACGGATGCCCCAAACGCTGTAGGTTGACACGCTTTTGTCTCGGCAGGCTCGTGGGCCGAGTGACAATTCTGCGCAAGGGCCAATCGACGGCGACCCTGCGCTCGGACTGAAGCGTCCATCACCCTGCGCGGCGCAGCTGGCCCCTCATTTGTTGAGAGAAGCTCTTCTTCACGTGACAACACCTGCACAGAATCTTAAAAAGTCATTCCGCGTGACCCTTCGAGCCCCATGGTCAAGATGGACCCGTTGCTGGCCGGGAGGAATGCGACACCAGCATCCGCGCGAGCAGATCAGGGCAAACTTAACTAGAAGTCCAAGCGCGCTCCACTGTACCCGGGCAGGTCCGTTTTGTCAAGGCGCTTCATTCCCCGCTCGCGTGCACTTCTTTCATTGAGTGTCCCTGCACGGCTCTAGCGCAGAGGCCTTGCCTATTGTTCTCGTCTCGCAGGCATACTAACTGGAACCGCTCTTTGTCATTTCTGGAAGTGATGTCGATCAGCTTTCCTTCCTTGAGACTGTCCTGCAGGCTGAAGTAGCCATCTGAGCGCGTGGGCAGTCTCATTATTGAGGCGCTACGCATCAGGATGTTGGAGAGCGCTTTTGACAAATCTGTGGGGCAGACCGAGGAGCCGCCAGACGGCCCCCTTTCTGACTGAGGTCCACGTCGCTGCTGAATTCAATGTAAATTGCCTTGAAAATTCAGCGATGAGTGCGGTTGCTGGTTAGTCCAGAAAGGGCCGCCTCACTAGCTGGCTCCCCGTCGCACACTTCTGTTCCTGGAGGTGGTTGTTTCACCCTCAGCATACTGTCTCCAGCTTCTCCAGCTTGGAGACCTGGCGCTGCTCGCCAAATCAATTCAGCTGGGGTCATGCTCCACCGCATCTCCGCATAAGCAGCGGTGCCCACTTACGTGGACAGCGCAGCCACTTTCTGAGTGAGCTCACACAGAGTTGGTTGCTCCAGGCAGGCACCACGCGCTGGTTTCGAAACGCTCCATAAAGCCCAAGTGGAGCTCTCACAATGCCGGCGCACGTCTGAGCACGCGCAGCAATGTCAAGCTGAAGTTCCAATTTCCCAAGCCGTGATATTCTGCGTCTCAGGGGTCAATGAATGTTTGAAGGTGCAATGTCCTGCGGAGACATTGTCAATCTTCAGGCGCCCCAGCAGGATAAGAATCTTCAGCGTTCTCTGTTGGAGGGCAGGCAGCTTAATCAATGATTATTGCTTTCGCCTAAGAGTTCAGATACATCTGCAGGGGCCATGTTTGGCTCCCTGCCGTCAGCCTGTGGAGCATCATGGTTCAGGTTCTGCGCGACTGGGGGATAAGACAACTTCCTCAGTAGGCTCTGGCTCATTCGCATTGGCAGACCAGATCATCCGCTTGATGTGACCAATCTCCTGCTGCGGGCGATTCCCTGGCAAGGGGCCAATCTAAGGGGAGATGGCGCAAGGCGCAGAGTCAGAGGCGTAAGGGAGAGCCGTAGAGAACGGGCCCATTATTGGAAAGCTTGTCAGGCAGAAGCCACTGAAAGAGTGTTGCTAACTGTGCTAACTGTTAAGGGAGCCGCGCTCGGCTCTTAATGGATCCAAGTTGGCGCAGTGAGCAATGTGACCAAGCAAGTGCAAGCAGCTCGGGCGGACAGGCTGGGTACTACTACTGCGACTGCTGCTACTACTACTACTACTACTACTAGCCCCCCCCCCTAGGCACTACCTTT